TTTGCTGGAAAGCAGTTGGAAGATGGCCGTACACTTGCCGACTACAACATCCAGAAGGAGTCAACGCTTCACTTGGTTCTTCGTCTGCGTGGTGGTATGCAGATCTTTGTTAAAACTCTTACGGGTAAGACTATTACGCTTGATGTAGAAAGCAGCGATACAATTGATAACGTCAAGGCGAAGATTCAGGATAAGGAAGGTATCCCTCCGGATCAGCAGCGTCTGATCTTTGCCGGAAAGCAGCTTGAGGATGGTCGTACACTTGCCGACTACAATATCCAGAAAGAGTCGACACTTCATCTTGTGTTGCGTCTGCGTGGTGGTATGCAGATTTTCGTCAAGACGCTCACTGGCAAGACCATCACACTGGATGTGGAATCAAGCGATACCATTGATAATGTAAAAGCCAAGATTCAGGACAAGGAGGGTATCCCCCCTGATCAGCAGCGTTTGATCTTTGCCGGAAAGCAGTTGGAAGATGGTCGCACACTTGCTGACTACAACATTCAGAAGGAGTCAACGCTACACTTGGTTCTTCGTCTACGTGGTGGTATGCAGATCTTTGTCAAGACTCTCACTGGAAAGACAATCACCTTGGATGTCGAATCGAGCGATACTATCGATAATGTGAAGGCTAAGATTCAGGATAAGGAGGGTATCCCCCCTGATCAGCAGCGTTTGATCTTCGCTGGAAAGCAACTGGAAGATGGACGTACCCTGGCCGATTACAACATTCAGAAGGAGTCTACTCTTCACCTGGTGTTGCGTCTCCGCGGAGGTAATTAGATACTCCCTTGCATTGCTGTTGCAGATAGATAGACATTTCCTCATTATTGCCGATACAGATAGATTCTGCATTGATAAAAGATTGAGCTCGTAATTTGGATTCGCAGTAGGTCTTACATTTATTGTTTTCATTCTCTTTTTTGTAATTTAGATGTGCTTACCTTTCACTTGAGACATCATGTAAATGTGCTTATTATATAATCGGCGTGCTGCAATGGGACTTCTCAAACTTATAAATCGTTTATTGTCAGTTTGGCAAGTATCAATTATAAATCGTTTATTGTCAGTTTGGCAAGTATCAATGTGGCTGACCTCATTTTGTAAGTCCATAAGATTTTTTCTAGTTATAGGTGTTAAGTTGTGTAGCTCACATCTGTCGAAGACGAATACATGAATTGCTCTTGAATATATTGTGCATACCATATATTGTTAACACTTGGCGTATAAGCAATTATCTACACATTGCCACTTTAAATCGCGTTAATTGTCGCTAATATGCAAGTGTGTTATCATTACGTTATGTTTGACTGCAGTACGATACTACTTGTGCGGTACGCTTGGAGGATGTAAACGTTTGATTTCTATAGCGCTGGTTTCAATAGGAATCGTTAAGCACAGTTTTCGAAATCCAGTTACATGACTGACATGAATTTATTAGAACGAGAGTGTGACGTATGGATACGGCCTTATGTTTCCGTAGGAGGTATCTGAGAGCAAGTAACCAAGGTAGTGGAACCAGAGATGGTCCTTGACTGGGCACTGAGCATGTTAAACCGTACATCCTTCAAAGGGGCCCGACAAGAAGTGTGTTCACATCTCAAGCTAAACTCAAAACCAGTAGTCCGCTCTAGTGTAGTCACTATAGTACACTCCGCATCTTTAATCATTGTGAAGTATAAAAACTATTATAACTCTGATGAAACCCAACAAACTAAGAAATTCTTCTCTATGTAAAATATAACCTTTGTCTATTTAGAAGGCTATGTGTGAAAAGTATAATAACGAAGCGGGCAATCACGATTTTAACATGGACCCGCGCATATGGTTAGAAACCAAAGCTGCTATTTGTATTTTCGAAGGATATGTAAATTCCACTATCATAATGCGGGTAAATCTTCGCTATCTCAGTAAAAAGTCCTCCCATTCACTTGAGCGGGCATACACATGTGCTGGCATAGAGAGAAACCGCATCGCCGGTCGCGTGCGATGGCATGCAACCGTCTTACGTTCTGAGAAGAGTGTGAATCGGTGCAATGAACGTGTACAACGTCTATACCATGCTTGTCTCGCGGATATCAAACGGAGAAGTACGACTCAACTCTGCTTCCTACCGTGACAAATGGAAGTAAAAGATAAAATCAGCTTGACGGTGGAATTACGCTTCCTCCAACTGTGTATATGGCTGCAAAATTCATGTTCGCATACGAAGTATACAGCGTACTTATTAAGTGAATTTCAGGTGGCGTAGCACGAATTATTCAACTCTACACTCCTCGTGTCTGCCCAAGGCAAAAATTAGGATTACACCGGTGGTGTAATCTATTCAGTTCCAAAGTGATGTAATAAGCTTGAATTCGATATTGTCCTGATTGCTTTTTTTTTTGGTGAACTACTAAAAATAGATTTATATGTTAGCCATGTGAGCTGCATTGTCATCAAGTATAAGTTAGAAACTCGGAAGGTGTAACTCGATTGCGACGCTCTATCCACCAACGTTGCGAACGAAATCTTATATCTTGTACTCTTCCGGTCAGGAAAAAAAAGGCATTCAAAGCTTGGATTTGGTCACTACAATCATTTGCAAATAAGCACACTCGCAGCAACTACTATTATATTCTTTTAGTATACCTAGAGAGAAAGTGTTTGAAATACAGACAGTTATTTATAAGGTGATTACATGTACGTATATTACATATTACATGCACATATATTACATATTGTGATATACTCGTGTCTCATCCATCAGTGTCAAAACGCTTTTCAAGTCTCTTGTGAAATACATAGACGTCCCGAATCCACGATAGTTGATGATGCTCGAAGGAGTAACCGCTTCTAGGGTTTTGTATAGTAAATCCTATTAGTCGAACGATGCACACTACTAGTCCTAGCGTAGGCTCTTAGGGTTTAAAATATCGAATCCCATTGGTCTGAAAGATACACCAACGAACCCATAGCCTCCTTTATTGAAAAAAGGGCAGTTCAATTCGAGACTTCCTGTGGCGACATAATATACATATGTGGCGAAATGTTCCATTTCAAGACATTACGTAAATTGTGAACACGCCACGCGAAACTATACTTATTGTGTATTTGGAAGCTGTAAACTCTATTCAGAAACTCCTGTGTATCAATTTAATGCTTTCAAACTAACAAGTGCACAGTACATAACGGCGTACCTGTAATATATTTTGATCTATCATGTCGGGTAATGATTCTGAAGCTTCCGATTTGGAGGATAATGAAGGAGTTCCGGATCTACGCTTCAAGCGGTATCGATTTTGAAGTTCAACTTTGTAGTGTATTACGAACGCGATTAGCTTAGACGTGTTGAAAGATGTTGTGTTGAACGATGTTGACTTTTGACAAAAACTCTCATATGGGTCCATGGGATTCTATTTACTAATAGTAGTATTTCTGTAAGTTTAGATGAAGAGAGAAGCACAGATGCGTATACAATGGCATAGACCACATGTCCCTCAATTGGATTACACTTCTCAGTTGCGATATAATTGCACAAACATTTGCATGCAAGTCCATGTCTATCATTATAGCATCAATCCTTTATTTTTTTATTCTAGGGTACGAGTATGCCTATGAGCGTCTATACCAGTACATAATTCAAGATCAAGAATTGTATTGTATATTTTACACGTGCGTTTGGTTATAAACACAGTCACGCGCGCAATCATACAAAATATGTATACATATATATATATATATATATATATATATATATATATATATATATGTGTGTGTGTGTGTGTGTGTGTGTGTGTGTGTGTGT